TAATTTCTTTCTATTTTTAGTAGAGACGGGGTCTCGCTCTTGCTCAGGCTGGCCTTGAACTCCTGACCTTGAGTGATCCACCCGCCTCGGCCTCCCAGAGTGCTAGGATTACAGGCGTGAGCCACCGCGCCTGGCCCCCTGCCTTGTTCTGTAGCTCCTGCAGGCATGAAGTTTCTGCAGAAACTATCAGTCCTTACCACTTAGGACAAAAAGGATAGATACTAGAATTGTGAAATAGCAAAGATATAAGGCTGAGAAATATAGAAACAAGATCATCAAATCTCTTTCATTGCACTCTTCTGAAGATCATATAAATGTAGAATCACCATTCTACCTGATATGATCCAGGCAGGAGTTACTGAGACACAAACCTAGAACAGTGACTTTCTCTAACAAATCTCCTCCCTTTTCTCAAGTAATTTTGATCTCTTAAAATGAGGTCTAAAAAGAAATCACATACTCTATTTCTTTTGCACTTTTTAGTACAGGACTTTACTAATTCAACAGATGGTCAGTCAACGAGTTTGTCAACTGGTAAACTAGTCCCACTGCTCAGTTTGGACCATTGCCCATAAAATGAGTTCTCTCAGTTTTCTTTTGCCTTTTTCCTACCCTTCCTTTTCATCAGTCTCCACCTCCATGGCCACTTGCCTTGTACAGTACCTTGGTTCATGGCTGGCTCCTGTTTGCCACTGGTGAGAGCACAGGAGTCAGCAATACGGGCTGGGGCTGGTGGCCGGTGGGATCCCCCTTGCGGGGGCACGTGACCAGTCTGAGTAAGGAAGTGGTTGAGGGAGTCACACAGATTGGCAATGTGATGCTGATCGAGGGTCCAGTTCTTCTGCTCTGCCTGTCGTAGACTCTCCATCAGTTCTACAAACAGGGAAGCAAGCAATGCTCACCTTGCAAAGGCACCAAAGCCCCTCGGGACACATCCCTATTTCACTGTTCCAGTCACATCATAAGTCAGCGCCACTCGTAATATGCATAACAATAATCATTCACATCTTTTAGAGCTCCCCATTTCCAAACTCTCATTCTATTTGTTCCTTACCAAATTCTTATTATAATTTCCATCTTACTGATGAATAAAACAAACTTTCAAAGTGACCGAATGGATCAGCCATGGTCACGCTGTCAGTAAATGGTGACAAAAATACACAATAGCAGTCTAGGGCTTCTGAATTCCTGAGAGCCTTCTCTCTCCCAAAGACAGAACTGACTAGGATAAACCACAGCCGTATTTTGAGATAAGACAAAATTAATTTGAAAATAGTATCAGTATTATCCATCTTGTGTAATGTGAAGGGGAAAACAATGAAATCCTCAGTCTCCAAACTTCACTTAACCACCCTCTTATGGTTTTAGTTTCTATTGGCTGTCTCCACTTACAAAGCTTCCCTCCAGACGTCGTCCTCTGATCACTAACCTGAGAACTGTGATTGCTCAATGCTGGACCAATTGAGCCGATTCACCATCTTGAAGCTTTCCTTCAAGGAGTCGATATTAGAGCACCAGTCAGGAGGAAAGGCTATAAAAAGGAGAGGAAAGTAGATGATAGGACAGAGTGAAGTGTAAGGCAGCAGTCAACTGAAACCAGACTGACTACATGTAAGATTCTTGCATCTATACTTGGACACTTCCTCCCTGTAGGTTTAGGACTAGTAAAGCTACCTATGCTTTAGGTTCATCCCAGCTCGTAGGCAGGAGAATATGTAAAACAATCCCAATTCATCCAAGAATTCTATAACATAGAGCCCTAAGTAGCAACTTCCACTTGCTCAGAGGAGATCTCATGAAGAAGCAAGGCTAAAAGACCCACTACTGACTTTCTAACCAATTGCACCTCCATGCCAGAGTTGGGACAAGGGAGTCATTCCAGCCTCTTCTAGGATCTCTGTGCACCCTCCTTACTCACCAAAGCCAGTGCTGTTGATGGGAGCCTGGCCTTGTGCCTGTGGCTGCGGGGGTGGTGGCTGCTGGGCAGGGTGGGAGTGAGGATGGTGCTGATGAGGGTGGTAGCCTCCATGCTGCAGTGGAGGCGGATGCATGGCCATCACAGGGGGAGGCCCGTAGCCTTCAGCCCCAGCTTGCTTTCCCCCTGGTGGGGTACAACCATCTGGGCTTGGGGTGTGCAGTGGAGGAGCACCCCCTACAGTTGAGGGGCCCTGGGCTGGTGCCGGCTGCTGCTGTGGCTGGGATTGCTGGGGAGGTGGCTGTGGTGGTGGCGGCTGCTGCTGCTGCTGCTGCTGCTGTTGTTGAGGCGGCGGCTGCTGCTGCTGGTACATGTAGTAGTTGTTAGAGGGTGGCATGTCCCCGAGGAGAGACGAAAAGCCTGCAGGTGGGGGAGTAAGCAGGCAAGTGACTTAGGCAATGCATTTTTCATGAAATGGGATTTTCAGTGGTTTGAGATGGGAGACCTCAGACAGAAATTGA